CTCATTCAACCACAAATCCATGGGTAAATAAAATCTTACCACTTTCAACTGGTGGTATTCCTGGTTTTAAATAATGCCAAATCATACCCTCTCTTGCAATGTATGAATAGATGTTTGTTTTTCAATTAGGTTGCTATCCCAAGTGTCCCACTGCTCAGCCATACTTTGATGAGGATACAATGACATGTGTCATAAAAGAACAATGTGGTTGCTATGATAAAGAGGGGAAACACTATGATGATGGTGACAAAGTGCCAACAACCAAAAACTGTTATACATGGTAGGTTTTGCATATCTTATATGTGCCAATCAATGTAATGTAATATTGTGGGAGGTTCAAATAAAAATTAAACAAAAGAATCTAATCTGAGTATTGGTTTTATGTTTTTCTCTCTTTTAGTACATGCAGTTCCATGACCATCAAATGTCGCCACGATAATGAAGGTGAGCAAAGATTTGGAGTGACCATTGGTTTAAAAAAATGCATTATATTGTATATTGAGCGGGAGGCAGTGACCTAGTAGACTAAGTGGAACACTAATCAAACTGAAGTCACCTGGATCTGCTGGAGTCCAGGAGGACAGATGGACTCTCCCTATCTCCCTATCTAGGTGCCCCTGAGCAAGGCACCTTACTCCCACCTTACATCTGCTCCCCAGGCCTTCAGTAGCTGCCCACTGCTCTGTGTGGTCACTGCTCACACAGGATGGGTTTAAAGGCAGAGATTAAATTTCCCCCCATGTTGCATGTAGTTGTGCACTGTGTGTTGCATGATTTGTGAGATAATATAGGAATCTTAATCTTATTGTATATTGTATATAAGGTTAATATGTCAATTAAAGATCTTCTCTTTTTACAGCCTGTAGTTGCACATATCATGGAAACAAATATCCCCCTGGCAGAACAATCTATAACACAACAGATGGACATGGCAACTGCATGACAGCAGTGTGTGGTAGAAACGGCACGATTGACAAGGAGTCTTTCCTGTGCCCAGCACCAACGACACCTACACAATTGCCCACTGTGACTTCCACTACAACTAGCCAGTCTCCGACCACGTTTGTTTTTAGATCAACCACACCAGGTATGTTTAGTAAATGTAAACATTTAAGAATTTAAGACATACAGTAATCAGCTATATAATGCAAGATTTACTACTTAATCATTATCCGTTTTATGTGTGTTTACAGAATCAGTTACAGTCACATGTAATCCTTGTGTATGGTCGCCATGGTATGATTCCAGCTTCCCCACACTGGGATCTCCAGGAGGAGATGATGAAACTTATGACAAGATTAGAAGGGCTGGACACAAGATATGTGATAAACCAAGTCAAATCCAATGCAGAGCTGAAAAATTCCCTAATGTCACAATTGACAATGTGGGACAGATGGTGGAATGTAATATAGCTAAGGGGCTGATGTGCAGAAATGAAGACCAGTCAGGGCCATTGGCCTTGTGCTTTAACTACCAAGTCAAAGTTCTGTGTTGTGATTATAGTGCATGTCCAACAAAGCCTTCTACACCACCTATACATCCAACCTCAACCGCAAATCCCACAACAAACCATGTTACAGAAACACCTTGTCAAGAAACAAAATGCTTCTGGTCAAAATGGATAAGCTCGGACTACCCTGACCATGGTCGTGATGGTGGGGACAATGAAACCATCAAACACATCATCCAGAAAGGATATAAGATCTGTGAGAATCCAGTGGCCGTAGAGTGTCGGGCTGTGCACTATGAATCAACCCCACTTAAGCAATTAGGACAAAATGTAACTTGTAATAACCAAGTAGGACTCCTGTGTAAGAACAGCTTACAGTATCCCCCCATATGTTTAAATTATGAAATAAAGGTTAAATGTTGCAAGCCAGTACAATGCAGCACAACCCTGAATCCAACAACTAAAAAAACTACAACTCATCCACCTAAAACTACTATTTCAACCACAACACCTACTACCACAACTGCAACAACAACCCAGCCACCAACAACTACCACAACAACTACCACTACCACTACCACTACCACCACCAGTGCACCTACACCTGGACCTTGCCCTGGGGGACATGATATGAAATGTAGTTGGTCAGACTGGATCAATCTTGGTGAGCCCACACCAGGCCCTAATGGTGGGGATGATGAATCCATCAAGAAAGTAATCGCTGCTGGTTATGACATTTGCTCAGCTCCAGAAGAAGTCAATTGCAGAGCCACTACTTACAAACATCTTTCCATCTCAGATGTGGGACAA